GTGATGACGCCTAACATCTACTTGCTAGGCAAGCCAATGTTAGCTAAAGAATTAACCAAATTTTTAACAAGTTAAAAGCAGAATAGTAATAATTAATAACTGATAAACTCTAAAATACATGAAATAGATACATAAGTAACACAGTCTATACTAATCCCGGAACTTCGGAGTCACAAGTATATGAGCAACTAGAATACCACAAGTATGGTCAAATACATCTGTTTGAAATAAAATAAACAGTAAAAATGGGATAGAAGGGGACTTCAGGGACTACGAATGTTGTGCAGTTGTACCTCAAGTAACCTGAGCAAGTCGGATCTGAGCAAACTCCTCTACGCGTCGTTGGGACCAACACCAGGATCTGCACAAGAAGTGCAGAAGTGTAGTATGAATACAACTGACCCCATGTACTCTATAAGTGTCGATTCTAACCTCGACAAAGTAGTGACGAAGCTATGACAAGACACTCACTATAAACATGTACGAATAATAAATGAAATACAACAGAAATATAGAGAAAACAACTAAACTCATAAGAACGGGACTCGAAGGTCAACTAACAGAGGGCCCCAGAATAACATCATATCAACATCCTCATCACAATACAGAAAACGAATACCACAACTATACACATTACAACGATTCATACTCAATTGCAGCGCGCAACCCAATCCCAACATTATCACAATATCTGTTGTGGCGTGCAACCCGATCCCAATATCATATCAATATATATATTGCAGTGTGCAACCTGTTCCCATTATCAATTCATTTCAATACTATTGTGGTTTGCAACTTATTCCCAATATCAACTCATTAACATGAACAACTCAACACAACCAAATACCATAATCTCAGCACAAAAAGGAACTACAGGGTATAGAACATCAAGGAAGTACCAGTACAAACAGAGAATAACCAACACCTCATACTCAAAAACTTCGACAGTTCCTTAATACAAGAATAGCTAAAGGACTCACACAATCGGATATAACATAATAAAGTGCAACAAGTAATGTAAGAATAATAAAGGAAAGTAAAGACATGAGGCAATGAAGATATACAATTAATACAGGTAGGAGCATATAGCAGGTAAGTATATATTGAACGAGAAATTAATGAGTCAAAACGGGTAACAACTAAATGACATATAACAAGTAGGGGATGAATAACAAGTAAGGACATGCAGTAATCAAAGCATGTAGCGAGATATAATATGAAATAAATGATGACATAACGGTAAATATCCTAAACCGCATGCTTTAACCCATGACAGCGCATACACTCGTCACCACGCATATACGCCGTCCCCACATATAATTCACGTAGCAAATAGACCAAACATGTCCTAATTCTCTCAAGTGATGATTAAATACGATACTTACCTCTTTTTGCAACCAACTCAATAATTAACCACTACTTTTTCTTTAGAACAAGTCTCGAAACTAACCGAATCTAGCCAGTTACCGTTCAAACAATTCAAAATAAGCTTTAGAAACTACCCACGAATGAAAATAGTTCAATCTTTAGCTAAATTGAAAAAAAGCCAACAAAAGTCAACTTCGGGCCCTCTTGGTCAAAACGTGAGATTCAGACCAAATTCTGATTACTCATTCACCCTCGAGCCCGATTATATGATTTATTTCGAAATTCGACCTCAATTTGAGGTCTAAATCTCAATTTATAAAATTACTAAATTATATCCAAAATTCCTAATTTCTACCATGAAATTCATGGATTTGATATAAAAATTCATGGAAAAGTATTGGGGAATGATGAAAAACAAGTTAAAGTTACTTACCAATGATTTTGGGAAGAAAAGCTCCTAAGAAAATCGCCTTTATGGAGTCTATGGTTGGAAAATGGTATAAAATGAGTTAAGTCCCGACTTTTCCATCTTTTACCCGGCTACAGGTATCGCAATTGCGAACTCTTGTTCGCAATTGCGACCACCGCAAATGTGAAACACTGGTCGCAAATGCGAATAGTGCCTCTAGCCTGCATAAGTCGCAAATGCGACAAAAAATATCGCATTTGTATGGCCCCTTCCATCGCAAATGCAGTCAAAGGTACGCATTTGCAAACCTGCCTAATTCTAGTACCCAGTCGCAAAAGCGATCTGGTGATGTCCGCAATTACAAACACTTCTTCGCAAATGCGAAATTTGCCCTGCCCAGTCCATTATCGCAAATGTGAGCTCGACTTCGCAAAAGAGGAGTTCGCATTTGCAAACAGGCCCTCGCAAATGCGAGACGTGCAGTTCAACACCAGTAACTGAATCACACCAGCTATTCCGAATCAATTTGCAACGCTTCCGAAACTCACCTGAGCCCCTCAAACTCCAAACTGAACATGTACAAGTGTAATAACATCGTACAAACTTGCTCGCTATCTCAAATCATAAAAATAACATCAAGTAACAAGAATAGATCCTCAAAACTCAAGATTTTAACTTGAAAATTAATTTTTCACAATCTTTCACGCAATGCGCCGAAATGCGCTTGAGTCATCCCGGACCCCAACCAAACGTGCGTATAAGTCCAAAAAGTCATACGAACTTACCGGAATCGTCAAAACACCGATCCGAGGTCGTTTACCAAAAAATATTGACTGTGGTCAACTTTAGCCTCATTGTAAGTCAAATAATCTCATTTTCTTCAAAATTTTACGTAAAACTTTTCGAAAAGCGACACGGACCACGCACACAAATCAAGAAACATCAAATGACCACAGGAATGTTGGTTGTTAATTATCATATTTAACTAAAAAGACCACAGAATTAGATTCTTTAGATTGCATGCACATGGTTGAAATGTTCAATAATTATTTACCTTTTCTTACCACTCCTTTCCATACTTGGTGTTCATGTGTACCTATGAAGTTCACAACACCTTAGTCTTAACATCAAAAGCCCCATAGATAATGTTTGACTATTGAACTTTCTGTGGTATTCATTGATCATGGAGAAGTTCTCAAGCATAGCTGCCTTTATATTTGCCCTCTTGATTGTTCTCGGTAAGTTACATACTATTCTATTTTATCTTTTAAATGGAAATCTTATGGATACCATGACGGTAAAATTTTGTTTATCCATTATAAAACTATGTATAATAAAACGACATCTTTATGATAATAGTCTCGAGCAATTCTACAACCTGTTAAAAACTAAAGTAGCATCATTTATAATTTCAGGGGAAAAAGATCAAATATGCCACTGTACTGTACTATTCGAAATTGAATAATATTGCCGTTCGTCAAACCTTTGGTCTAATCTTACCATTGCTATTGGGAATAAGTCTCGTTTTTTCCGTTGACCCGTAACAAAGCTCCAACCTAAGGATAATTTTAAACCATAATAAGGTTGAGGGATAAATTTGGACATTCTTTATTGAGTCCACTAATTTCGGGCTGAGCTCCATTCATGATAAGTGAAAATAAAAGACGGTTTGCGAACTCTATGGTATTATGAACTAAAAATCTAATGGATAGCGACTTTGCTCAATTTTAAATATTACAAGGGACAATTTTGGATGTGGATGCTATTTTATTCTTTCGTACATAGAGACAGAGACGGATCTAGAGGTGCTCCACTAAAGAAAGAAGAAAAAAAGTATTTAGTGAGATTTGATTCTGGCTCCTCTAGGTAAATAACTTTAACATTCAACCAAGTGTACCTTTTAACCTCTTTGGAGCATAGGTGTCAACAGATAATATTAGACCAATTCAAAAAAATATGTACATAAAATACTATTTTGCCGGAGAGCCCATGAATTCACGTACCCCATATATTTACCTATAAATCCGTCCCTGCATAAAGAGTGACATTGACTCAAACGCAGGCACAAAGACAAGAGGACAACGAATATGTCCATTTCTACTTGCAGTTGCCAAACCTTGAGATCCAACAAACTGTAACCACCAATGTTTTCAACAGTTAGGAGGAAGGCCTGCACCTGGTGATATTAAAGGACCACTTCTTGGAGGAAATTGCTTAGCTGAAAACTGTTATTGCTCCTTTTGCTGTGACCTTGGCTGCAACTAGCTAGAACTCTGCATTCTTGAATTCAAGTACTAGCTATTTCTTGATGGATACAATCCTTCTTTGTTATTTTCTATTATCCAAAAACTACTGTTACATGCTGGAAAATGCAAAACGTGTGCATTTAGTTGTCTTAAATGAGATGGGATGTTTCCCTCCATGGCATGACACCTTTCGTGAAATACATTATGACATGATTAGTCACCCGAGCAAACAACCCATTCTTGGGTTCTCCCAATAACTAAAATAGAAAATGTAATATGCCTGAATCTAATTGGAGTTCGCGTTAGTGGAGGAACTGAATCAGAAAAAA